GGTGACTTTTTTTTTTCTTTTCTTCGTGAATTGATATTATATGTATGAATGAATTATATTATATGATAAAGATTAAGTGCTTTCTCCAACACTATGGGTAGGAAGGGAGAGTCAAAGATGACTAAGTTGTTGCCCTCTACTTGTTTTGGTTTGTAATGCCTAACAGATGAAAAACATAAGCTATGATTTTGTTTTTATCTCGATCTTTGTTCGTTTTTTTCTCTTTGACAGTGAAGACGAGTTAAAGTTGGAAACTTTTTCTCAAATTATAATGAAAAAGACTGAATTTTTGTTAATATGGTGATAAAAATACGAAAAAAATTGAGTCTTTTTCTTACTTTCTTATAAGAACATAGAAACTTCTCTTTAATAGATATGTTTTAAAACTATGAGGTTGACGGTTATATGTAATGGGTTAAAGCAGACAATATTTGCTAATGGTGGGATCGAGCTATTACAGTTGATATTAGAGTCAGGCAGAGAGCGGTGTGCCAACGAGGACTTCAGGCCCGTATAGGGGAGATGGAATGTGAGATCTCACTTTGGTTAGAGAGGGAAACGAAACATTTCTTATAAGGGTGTAGAAACCTCTCCCTAATAGAAACGTTTGAAAATCATAAGCTAAAGTAGACAATATCTATTAGCAGTGGGCCTCAAAAGAGGGTAGATTATGAGATCTCAAATCCATTAGAGATGGGAACGAACCATTTTTATAAGGGTGTGAAAACCTCTCTTTAGTACACAAGTTTTAAAATCGTGAGGCTAAAGTCAATACGTAAGGAGCTAAAACAAACAACATCTACTAGTAGTGGACTCTGTTGTTATAGTAACAAACTAGGAGACCATTAGGAACAAAAGTTAATTTAAAAAAAAATACATCAATCAATCAATGGGTCATTTAAAATTGCAAAAGTTAAAACAACTTAGACTTTCTCGATAACCCGACACGAAATTGAATGATTTAACACGAACCGAACCACAAAGTCATCCAATTGGACCCATAATAAACAATTATTCAATACCCCTTTTGTCAAAATTGTCAAAAAAAATTCCCTTCCATAAAGGGGTCCTAGAATTGAAAGATAAGATCTTGAGGGTCTTTAGTGGAAGATGGTGATTGGCCAACACGACCCTTTTTGCTTTATATTTTTTCAAAGTGGGACCCCTCAATCTAATTCAAAAAATATTCAAATAATTGACCCATTATTGTGCCCAAAAATTACCATAATATTTAACCATATAAATTATTATTATTATGACAAAATTACATCACTAAAGCTTAAAAATTGGAAGCATAATCATTATAAAATACTTTTATTTAATCATTTATAAGTGCAAACATAAGGCCTCAAATTGCTTCCATTATTATTGACAAAAACAAAGGTTATCCGTTCAGTCTATTACGTATCATCGTTAGTATTATGGTTTTAAAATGCGTCTACTAAGAAGAGGTTTCCACACCCTTATAAGAAATAGTTCGTTTCCGTCTCTAATCAATGTGAGATCTCACAATCCACCCCCCTTATGACCAACTTCCTTGCAAGCATACCATTCGGTGATTGACTTTAATACCATTTGTAACAACTCAAGCTCACTATGTTATGTATTGTCATGAGCCTCATAGTTTTAAAATGTGTCTATTAGAAAGAGATTTTCACATTCATATAAGAAATGATTCGTTTCTCTCTCCAATTGATGTGGGATCTCATAATCTACTCCCCTTGAGGGTCAACACGTCCTCGCTGCTGACTGGCTTTGATACTATTTGTAACAAGTCAAGCCTATCCTTAGCTGATATTGTATGTTTTAGTCCGTTACGTATTATCGTTAACCTCTTGATTTTACAACGCGTCTATTAGAGAGGGTTTTCAAGATTATTTCAGATTTCAAAAGACAAAAATTAAACATTCGATTTAACGAGAATCCAAAGACGAATGATGCTCGTGACTAATTTTGTTTCTCCAAATAAAATTATTTTAATGACAAATTATTTACTAAATCTATCCCAACGTGTAAATGGAATAACAAAAAAGCAAGTCGCTTTAAAAATAAGAAAGAAACAAAATTTAAAAGACAGCCGTTATCATATTTTCAACATTTTTTAAAATAAATATTTTTTTTAAAAATAAATAATAAATAATAAATAATAAATAATAATAAAGATGATGCCTTTATGGGTTTGTTGGAAGAATGAGATTCATGGAGGCATCTGTTGCAATTGCCAATGTGGAGAATCCATTAAAACTTTGACCAAAAGGAATAGTTTATTTATTTATTTATTTATTTATTTAAATAATTTTAAAGTGGAAAAAAAAAAATCTCCAAGGTTCCAAATCTTTAATTATTTCAATTTTAAAAGCATTATCTTAATAAAAAAATATTAAAAATATTGTATTTTACATCGGTCGATCTTACCGAGTTGAATACTAACTTTTCATAAGAATAATTTTGACCTAACTAAACTTTATTCCTCATATACCTAAATCGTAAGGCATCTATTTTTTATACCGACGTGTAAAGCTTCGAATCCTTTTACTCCATGTTATGAACACTCAATCAGGTTTGTCAAGAACGAGCTGACGATTACAGTGAAAGTGGTTGACTTCAGTTCCTGAGCCTCAAAAGAAAGTTCCTACAACAGCCAAAGGTCACAATCGTATTTGGCCTATTACGTATCGTCGTCAGCTTCACATTTTTTTCAACGCATTTGCCGGATAGAAGTTTCCACACCCTTATGAGGAATGTTTCGTTTTTCTCTCCAACCGATGTGGGATCTTACAATCCACCACCTTGGGGGTCATTGTTCTCATTGGCACACCGCTTGGTGTGTAGTTCTGATACCATTTGTAAGAGCCCTAACTCACAACTAGCAAATATTGTATGTTTTTTACCCTTTATGTATTGTCGTCAATCTCATGGTTTTAAAACTCGTCTCCTAATAAGAAGTTTCCACACCCTTATGAGGAATGTTTCGTTTTTCTCTCCAACCGATGTGGGATCTTACAATCCACCATCTTGGGGATCATTGTTCTCATTGACACACCGCCTGATGTTTAGTTTTGATATCATTTGTAACAGCATTAACCCACAACTAACAAATATTGTATGTTTTGACCCATTACGTATCGTCGTCAGTCTCACGGTTTTAAAACACATCTCACAAGGAGAAGTTTCCATTCCCTCTCCAACCGATGCAGGATCTTACAGGCCAGTGTTTAGCTCTAATACTATTTATAACAGCTCTAATCCACAACTAGCAAATATTATATGTTTTGACCCATTACATATCGTTATCAGTCTCACAGTTTTAAAACACATTTTCCAATGAGAAGTTTCCACACCTTTATAAAGAATGTTTCATTCCCCTCGCTATCTGATATGAAATCTCAGAGCTCCATCCGAGATTCTTCAAGGATATCAAATTTCACCCCACATCTCTTTCAAAAAAAAAGCAAAAAAACCCATTAACTTAATTTAAAAAATAAAATTGAAAATAATAAATAAAAAAAATAAATAAGTGTGTAGTGACACAAGCAAATATAAATATAAATATGAAGGGACAATAATTATGTATTCCATTAAGGAAAATCAAGCAACTAATAAGAGAGTCAATTTCTAGATTCATATAATGGTATTTGGTGATATTATACTTGGAATGCATTACAAATAAAAAAATATTAATTAATATTAATTAAACATATTTTAAATATTTTTAATTTCAAAATGGTTTGTGGGGATATTTTTCCATATTCTCAAGGGACATTCAAATGTACTTTTATTTTTTTTTATTATAAAAATTTATTGTCCTCAAACTTTATATTATATTTTTATATAGCTTTATTTAATATAAATATCCACGAAACGTCCATTAATTCTAGTACGCTGCTCATCCGTCCATTTAATAAGTTGATGGTTCGATATTTCATTCTTAAACAAATGTCCGAGAAAACACTTCCACTAAATGAGCTTCTATTTTTTTTTTTTTAAATTTAATTTTGTTAATTTTAATAATTCACCTTGGAAAATGTTCTTAATTGGGCCTATGCATGAATTTATTGGGCCTATAGTTGTGAGCCCAAGGTGAGAGTCATAGTTAGGCCTTTGTCCTTTATGGACTTTAGACTTTTTATTTATTTATTTTGTAAAAATCAATGTAGGTGTAATTGTATATCGAAGTGCTCGTGTTAGGAATCACGATGCTCCATAATGATGTGATATTGTCTATTTTGAACATACGCTTTCGTGACTTTGTCTAATAAAGATAGTATCTTTTAGTTTTAAATACGTGATCCAACCGTGCTCACGTTAGTCAATGGAACAACGTGAGCTAGATTTAAAAGGCTTACCATAAATAATAATAATAATTATAAATTAACTCAACTGCCGACCAAATTTGACCAACACAAAGATTCCAGCTCACTTCCTCTTCTTGTCGTTATCCACTATTGGATAAATTAAAATACATTTGGTGCCCATGTGGAAGCCACGGCGACGAGAGAAGCCAGCAAGGCTTCCATATTTGAAGTAAAATATATATATATATATATATATATATATATATATTTTGCGACATCCACGGTGTCAATCGTATAATTTTATTAAAAGGTACGGAAAATATGATAATAATTTTTTGTTACTATTTTAACCTTCAAAAATTATTTATAAAAACAATAATGAGTAATAATAATGTGGGCCCAATATGAAGACATGCAAAGTTCAGAATGACGTGGATTTTCGGAGAAAAAGAAATAAATAATAATATTAAAAGTCGCTAACTTAATTTCCAAGTAATTCGAATTCAGCGGGAAGCTTCGTTGAATCGGCGTTCCGCGTTCACAAGGCTCTTGGAAATCGCCGATTTGTTAAATTACTCAAATACCCTTCTCTCTTTTTGAAGTTTCAAAGATAATAACCGACTTTGACTTTGGGAATTCGTAAGGCTATACGTGTAATTTTAATTTCGATTGGTGACTGGAAAACGGATACATATGGCAGCACGCTAAGTTTCATAGCCTTGATTCTACTGGGTCTTTCGAAGCGAAATTTCAGTGCCGGCTTTCGATCACAGAGACTGGTAGAATCCATGGCCTCCTCTAAGCTTCTGATGCACAAGCAATTCAGGAAGAAGATGGTGGAATCGGTTGCGGTTCCGGCTCCTCCGAGGCCTTGTTCGAGAAACCCTATCAATTCCTCCTCTTGTAATCACTTATCCGATTCTTCGCAGTCTTTGATTCAAAACTACTCCAATTTCAAGGCCAGTGGTTTGCCTTCTCGTTTCATGTTCTATCAGGATAGGTTGTGGGTTGATTTCGATACTCAAGTGATTGGAATATTGCGAGCGGGTTTCTCCGACCGGAATCCGGCGATTGAACTGGAAATCGATGGATCGACGTATCTGTTTGATATGTATAGGATGTTACAGATTGATTTAGAAACTGGTAGACAGAGATCGGTTGCTTGGATCGATGAAAATGGGAAGTGTTTTTTCCCCAAAGTCTTTATCGGCGATGAGAGTGAAGGAAATACTCGGAGTTTGTCGAATCCGAAAATTGAAATTGAGATTAAGTTTGATGGGAAGTCCGGGAAACGAAAGAGGGAAGCGATGGAGATGGAGGAGGAAGAAAATTATGTGAATTCCAGCAATGAACATGTGGAAGTGAAGCCATTGAAAATGCCGCGTGTTGTTGCGAATGATTCAGAAGCTCATGTCTGGCCGAAGGCGAAGGCGCTGAGTGAAGGAGATAGTGCGTACACGTTGGTAAGCAATTTCTTTCTCCCTTCGATTAAAAAGGTTGATCCCAGTTCTGCAATCACCTCAATTCATCAGTGCACCCGCACGGGGCCATTGGAAAAAGCTCGCCTCGATGTGTTTCAAAAGCAGAATGAGATTACAACGGCTGCCCGTGGTGTGTCCAATATGGTTTATGCATGGTATGGAGCTTCTGCAACAAGTTTGGCGGGAATTTTGGCTCATGGATTTGGGGAGCCTCTTCAGGTGCCTGCCGCCGATACTCATGGAATTGGAGTTTATTTATCTCCATTGGGCTTGCCTCATTTATGGTAATTTGGCTTTCGTTTTCGTCTAGCTACTTCTAGTTTATGATTATGTGTTCTCACCATATTCAAATGCACAATTAACTGTGATTCCCAGTTCTACGCTATCAGAGGCCGATGAGGATGGTATAAAACATATGGTTTTATGTCGAGTAATATTGGGTAATGTTGAAAAGGTTGAAGCAGGATCTCAGCAATCCCATCCTTCGAGTACAGAGTTTGACACTGGTGTGGATGATCCAACATGTCCTAAACGGTATATTGTATGGTGTAGTAATATGAACAGACACATTTTACCAGAGTACATAGTGAGTTTCAGATCAAATTATCGTTTGCCAGGTAAATATTCTTATTGATTGAGTTTATTTGCTTAATCCTCTTCGCTTTTTTAGTTTCGTTGATGATTCTTTTTTCCAGGTAAGTTGGGGGAATCGACAGATACGAAGTATTCCCTCGTGAAATTACTTTCGAAGATGAAGAATTCCCTGCCTACCTCTAAAGTTCAAGAGGTTGCGACATTGTTTCAGACATTTAAGGTGAGTCTTTGTTGCGTAACATTTAAAAAGATGCACTCCTATTCACTAAAAGAAAAAAATGAAAGGGTAAGAGAAGAATGTGAAATAGGACTACGTAATTGAAGATAATATGATGCTAATTTAGCAACATGAATTTGATCATTACAGGCAGGAAAATTGGGAAAAGATGTTCTTGTTAAAAGGCTTCGATCAATTGCTGGAGATGACATGCTTCTATCCTTGATTCGTGAAATTCGAGAATGTCAATGAGGTTCTTCCAAGTTTTATTTGGAAGCATTTCAAATTTCAATACTTGTGCTTTGTCGTTTGATTGAACAAGTTGTCAGATGTTATGATACCAGTAGTTTTAGGAAAGAAAGCTCAATATACAATAGAAAGATAAGAAACATTTGTAATTTTTCCTCAAACACATCTTATGTGCAGAGATTTCCATAGAGTTCATCTTAGCTCTTGATTGCCAATCTTCTATTTTTTTTGAGGAAATTCCACAGTTTAGCGTAAAAATTCGAGGCAAAAATAAGGATTGTGCCCATGCTCTAACTCGCCCATGTTTGCACTCGTCTGAAATTTGTTTGAACTCGAGTAACATAGTACATGATTTAGATTGAAATTTCCTACTTCTATGCAACAAATATTTAGGCTCTTTGATGTTCTTTTCACACTGAGCAGAATTAGAATATTTTCCGGGAGGAACTATAAGTATTTGAAGTTAGAAGAGAGTTCTATTATGCTTATTGAATACCATTTTATAAACACCATAAGAAGGGATCTCCAGTCCCCTTATGATTTTTGGTAATGTTTCACGTCTTTTGAATTATCTAGCAGTTCAATTAACCTTTTCCATGAGTTGTTCTTTCGTCTGTATATTACACTTTTACCTAGAAGAATTCCTTGTTCTATTTAATAATCACCTCTTAGGTTGCATGAGATTCCAACATGTTATTTGCAATTAATTTGTTTTTATGAGTTAATGTATGAGAAGTATTATTGCGGAGACCACATTGTTGATCTATCGAATGGTGAAATACACAAAAGCATGAAACTGATGTTCATATTAGTTTCCTAGCTTGAATTTAGATATTAATATCAGGAGAAAAAACTAATGTATTTGGAAATTTATGTGAGCATCTTATTGAAAATTCTGTGAATTTGATGCTGAGGTTCTCCAGCCGGGAATTATTGGTAAGTATTGCTTTTCCTCAAGAGATATGAAAGATGTTTTGATATTGAATCCCACGGTTAATCAATCAGGAAAGACTCCAAAGGTTGAATTTATTATATCATTGCATTGCTGTTCTCTCATTCTTAGAAATTCCCTTTTTCTAATACCAGGTTCCTCCCTTGTTTTTGTAGAGCTAATTTTTCCAAGTTCTGTAAGTCTCTTAACAAAAGTTTGTTCTTATGATAATGTCATGTTTTCAATTAGTTTTACATCCAATACTATTAAGTAGAAGAACTCAATCTTTATAAAGCTCCTTCCCTAGATATTTTCATGGCTACGTTTTTGTCAGGTCTAAGGAGGATTTTTTTTTTCCCCCCCTTATAAAAGCTCCCGTTTTATATAATTACAGACATCTGCACATGCACACACAATACTAACATCGGGACAACTGTCGGGCCATCATGGTTTGAACTCGAGATGTAGGCTAACGAAAGATGTGAAAGGATTTGGATTGAGACTGAAATGATGGTTCGTTTCTGCTTGGAGTCCTTTAGGGCCATGGGTATTTGTTTACCCCCTTTTCTTTTTTTTTTTGTTGATTTCAATAGATACTGGTTTATGCGCTGGACAAGTGAAATAACTGATACCAAGAACGAGTTGATCAGCACATGCTATTTAATCTATTAAAGTACTTTTAATGTTGGTGCTCATAATTATTGTTATTAACGACCAGTTTTTTGCAGGCTGGAAAGATGGCGACAGATTGTTGAGACTGGTGTCCAGGCCAGTTATCTGGATGACAGATCTTTAGCAGAAAATATTTGCATTCAGAGGTGGGTTAATGTTGAGTTCTATATAATTTTGGCACCATCAATGATTTCTCTCTCTTTGCTAGTGCTGACCCTGTATGATTTGTATTTTTTATTGTGATACTTCTTTGTTTTTATTACCTGGTAAGGTAGCTGATGAAGTTGATTGTGTATAAGGAACCTTTTGTCAAGGGCAAGATGAAGAAAAATTCTTGCTTTGTGAGGGTAGAGCTCTTGGATTCCTGAATCTTGTTGTGAAATCTCTTGCGAATCTGATCTTATGTGCGTGAAAACCATCCCCCATGCATCAAACTGAGTTCTAATAAAAATAAAGATCTTGTCTGATGATGTATCTTCAAACTTGTATGTATTTCTTTGCCTTTTAGCTTTGGATACAGAGAATTCATGCTGCAACACATTGCAAAGGAGGTTTTGTGTTACTTATCTTACCTTGGTGTACTGTAAGTAAATTAGAAATTTTATTTTCAACTCTTTGAGAAACATCTGTAATCCTGGCACCTTGTACATCTTATCGATCAAGAGTTGAGCACGAGTCTAGTGACCGAAGAATTTAGAGAGTGAATATTCTTATTACATATTGAAGATGTTTGTTATTTATCAAGTCAAAGATCTTTAATCTCTCTGGATGATAAATGTTCATGTGACGTGATCTCTTCCCCCAACTTCACTCTGATACAGTATTTCATTATTGATGTGCCAATGAAAATGACTCCCATTTCAACTCATGCAGTTTCAAGCTGATGCTCTCTGGGAGTGGGGGGGCTCCGAGTTGCCATTGGTGCTGGCTCGAAACATGTGTGGATTCCCCAACAAGCGTTCATCATGGATTGGAGAAAGAATTTGCAGACTACCTTACACCATGGATATATATTCAACGTGTTGTCAGATGCTGTCAACTGCCCAATTGAAAAGAAGGACGAAGGTACATTCTTGTTCGTGTTACACGTTTTTAAAACAAACGATAAAATTCTAAGATATTATTTATAATTTAGCCTCTTTCTTTTACATCACAATCAAATCTTCGACGTAAAAAAGTTACGTCGAAGAGTTTAGGATGTTCTTATTATATATTTCCTATATGTAATTCGGGTATCGATTCTCATCCTCACCGATTTTTTAGGAGACCCGAAAGTTGGCTCTTCTGAATTTCAATGGGCCAGAGATTTGAATTCTCTCCATTGAAGCATTTGGTTCTAACAGAGGACCTAAGAAGTGTTCCAAGATTCCAGATGTTCTTGATATATTTGTTTTCCAATCTCGCTCGCTTTTCTCCTTTCCACATTCTTACGCAAAATTATTCAAGAATATGAACCTATTGGAAAGAAGAGTGGCTTGATAACGACTATACTTTAGAGTAGGATTTGTTTCTAGTGCTCGGTCACATTTTGAAGTATTTACCTCTACATTTACTATTGAATGGTGGGTTACAATCGGGTTTGTTTGCAAAGATCACGAGCACGTAATATGTATACATATTGTGTGGGAGATTCAAACCTTTGTTTTATTGGTCAAAGGTTTTTGTCTTGATTAGTAGAGCGATCTGATCTAGCATATAAGTCATAGCTAAACTTTATATATCTAAAATATTTTCTAATCTCTTTATCACTTGAATTACGTTCAAGATAATTAAGGCTATAGTTTACACAAAAAATATCGTCCATTGGTATCGAACTATTTTAAGATAAATGATCTCAGTAATCTTTTGAGGAAGATTAGTATTAAAAAGAGAAAGGGGAGTATGCAAAAACTAACCAAGAGGCAAGGGAGGGTAGTTTTATGCAAGAAAGGAGGGATTGATCGGTAAAGCTGATAGTTGCTAAAGACTTATACAATGCATGTGAATGTCGCCATTAGCTGAGTTACTAAAGTCTTGTACAACGTGTGTCAATGTCGTCATTAGCTAATAGTTACTAAAGTCTTGTACAACGTGTGTCAATGTCGTCATTAGCTAATAGTTACTAAAGTCTTATACAACGCATGTCAATGTTGCTATTGACAATTGTTGTCCTATCACCTATGAAAAGCTCTAAATAAGCACATGATAGTTTAGAGTCGAAATCAGAGTGAAGTCATTGCTGCCTACCCAGTGCTAAAAGGTTTTGGTGAGGTGATCGAAGTTTTGGTGAATAGCCACCATAACTAATACAGTCTTAAGGTAGCGAAATTTCTTATTGAATAAGTTTCGACCAGCATGAAAAACGTAACGATCTGAGCATTGTTGCAAAGAAAGGTTCGATAAAATAGACACGTTTGTAAAGATACAGATTACTTATACTTAGATAAGACACTATAAAAGCATAGGAGTCTTTTATATGAGTGGAAAGAAAAGGGATGATAGTGGGGGGAATGAGGAGCAGTAATGGTAACAGTAGAGCTCATTTGGGATCAATCACTTCATTATCTCCCTTTCATTTTTCTTCTAATTCCATATTCCCAAATCATTTGCCTTTCTTCATCATTATAATAATAATGTACCTCTTTTTCTAGCACTCCATCTCTCTTGGTCGGCCGGCCACCACTCCCCTTGGTCGCTCGTTGGGACGGTTTAATCTTCTCTAAATATCTCTTCCTGTTTATTAGAGTTTCACACCGTACGATGATCTTTGAAGTTAAAGAGTCCATCAAAATACAGATGTTCGAGTTGATAAGGATAAGAACAAGTTGTCGAGGGTCCATGAATCGACAAACAGATAGCTATTTGAAAGGAGAGAATCACATGGTTGGTAGCTCAAATTCTTAATGAAGACAAATCTCGACCGATCTTATAATACAAACGTATATTCAAAATGTAAATGTTGAACATAAAACACTCGCACTCTTTATTAATACCAATCGAAAAGATATTACAAAATAGTCTGTAAAATACTTCTACACTTTGTTTTATTCACTATTGAATTAGTGATGATATTCTTATAACGTTCGAAGTGACTTTAAAAAAAAGTTATTTATCATAAAATAATTAAAGAAAATAGACCTACAATCTTATCCCTTTGTGCATTTATTTTTTTAACCTAACCCATGTCACTTGGGTTAATATATATAGATATATGTCACATCTACTACAAATATCAAATTAAATTAAAAAAAATAAGTAAAAAAAACCCATCAAATTAACTATAAGCTTTAAATATTCAAATAAATATGAATTTAATAATAAGAAAAATCAGTTGTACGTTAAAGAGGTACCCCCTTTTGTGGGGTTATTATTTTATTAATTGTTATTGGACTTGACCACCGTGGCAATCCATTGGTCGCACCCCTTCCAGCTCATCCATGTCATCTTTTTACGTGGCACCTGTCAATTTTAATCACTTTAGTATTATATTGCGTTTAAAAAAAAAAAACATAAAGAAATAAAAATATCTTCCTTTGCTCATCCACTTGTGTTGTAATTATTTATTATACACTTAAAAAATCACTTAAAAAATTAATTTTAATTTAATATTTACACCCATTAAAAATATTTTAATTTTGTATTAGTCGGATTAAAATCTAACGAATTTTCGTGATTATTGATTATAACGTCACTATCATATTCAATATGTGTATTTTTTAATTACGTGACAATAAATAGATATTTTTATTTAGCTGAAATATTTAAATTTATTTAATTAGATTTTGTTTTAGTCGTATTTCTATATAGTGACAATAAATAGATATTTTTATTTAGCTGAAATATTTAAATTTATTTAATTAGATTTTGTTTTAGTCGTATTTCTATATATAATATAGATCGAGCTAGAATCAAGTTTATTTGCAATTCGGTGAATTATAGTCCTCAAGCAACACCTTAGCCATTGTGTGTTAACTTGGTGCACGTTGGACCTAAAATCTAGCCTAACATGAGCCCTCCTATAAGATTCATGCAATAAAATTTGACCTGATTCGATTTAGTTCGATGGTTTAATAGTTATTCTTCCATCGGTTCGGTTTGAGGGTCCATGAACCTCAAAAGCCCCCTTAATTGAATCGGTTCGGTTCGAGGGTTCGAACAAAGCACGCCTCCCCTTAATCGAGGTTTGACTCCTTTTTGGAGTCCTTTGTTCGACATTCGAGGATTTGCCAATCTATTGGCACGGCTAAGTTTAGGGCTCTGATACCATGTTAGACGAACACGACTCTCTACAATGGTATGATATTGTCCACTTTGAGCATAAGCTCTCATGGCTTTGCTTTAGGGTTCCCCAAAAGGCCTCACACCAATGAAGAGTGTATTCTTAGATTATGAACCCATGACCATTCCCTAAATTAACAGATGTGGGACTTTCATCATTCAACATTTAATTTAAAATTCCCTAAATTTTCAACATTTAATTCCCTAAATTAACAAGAACCTTCGTATTTCTTCGATATGATATTAAAATTCATGAACTCAGATATATATATATATTTTTTATTGCATCTCGAAAAGATTAAACGACAAATTTTCTTCGTAAGTTGGGTTTGAAGAATTGAGGTGGGAATTTAATTTTGAGAAGATTTGGATGATCTTTAGAATATAAATTTGTCAATAATTTTGACATTTTGAGAGATGAAAGTTATGAAATTAATATTTGTTCTTAATGAAGTGTTGGAATATTCTCATCTAAATTGGAATCATTCCTTATGCTTTATGAAATATTCTCAACTTAGTCCTAACATATTCCTTCCTACTTTTCATTTTTTAAAAATAAACTTCGAGATTCATCGACATTTTTTAATTTTTTTTTATCGATGAGAAAATTCAAATTTTTAACTAGAGATGTTTATTTAAACGAGAACGAGAAGAATTTTCTCCCTGTTAGTGAAACAAGGACATAAATGGAAATTATATTGATTGTCTCTATCAATCCCTACCATGTCCGCCCGTTCCATTTTAATAATATGAAATATTATTGGATTTATTAAGTTGTTTTTACATTTTTAATATAAATTATATTCGAGTATAAAATTATTTAAAAAAAATATTATTCTTCTCTCCAACGGATATGAGCTTTTACAATCTACTCCCTTGGGTCCAATGTTCTCACTAGTATACTGCTTGTTGTGTGACTCTAATACCATTTATAATTGCTAAAGTCTACCGCTAACAGATATTGTTCTCTTTGAAGTTTCCCTTCTAGAATTTCGTTTTTAAAACGCGTCGGTTAAGAAGAGACACTTATAAAAAAGGGTTTGTTCCCCTCTCCAAATAAGGTGGGAGCTCGATCCTTAAAAAATAATAATAATAATAAATAGAGAATTTTATTGAGATAATTTGTGGTTTTCTATATATTTATTATATTTATAATAATAAATAGAGAATTTTGAGTCACAAATTGACCCAACATTTCTTTATGAAAAAC